TTAACAGGAGATAAAGTGAAATTCTGCTATTGACAATGTACTGGGCTGGGATTTTCTATGCTATTTGATGGAGCAAGTAATAGCATGGCATTAGTAAATAAATAATAATCAGACGAGATTAAGATATTGTTTGGAGGTCTGAAAAGCCCACCCAGCAGTGCCCAAACCTTCTAAAAAGACTTTCCCAAAAGTTGAAGTACTCTGTGTCAGGTAAGTACAGTGGGCTAGGAATGAAAAGTAGAATTTCTAAATTCCAGCTGATGCAACTTTTAATCCTTACTTTACCCAGAGGCCTCCAGGACATTTTGTTTTCATAAAAAGCCTGAGAGGTAGGATAGGTTATGATTACAAAGAGCTTCATGGAAGCAACAACTCCTTGTATCTCTGGTCCAAGGCTGACTCTGTAACCAGTAAGCCAGACTAGTTGGCAAAGTGTGGATGGCCAAACCTCTTGTTCTCCTTTCACTGCAAACATGCAGGGACATGCACCATTAGTGGGGCCCAAAGGCTGAGTGCACACAATATGATGGTTTACGTTATGGAAACTGGACCACTGTCCTAGTATGCTATGTCAAGCAGCCCATTGTATTAGGCCATAATATATAACCTATGTTTTGTGGCTGCATCTGAAGTGATTTTTGCAGGAATGGGGGTGAGGCTGTTGCTGAGGAAGGAAGGGATCAGCCTCTCCCCTCCATACATTGCAGTCCCAAAAACAATACCTATATCCATTTTGTATCTTTTTCTCTGAAAGTCAAACACAGATGTAGCTGCATGCTATGCATAACACATAGCTTGATCTTGTGTTCAGTTGTAGCATCTAAAGCTACAATCTTAACCAGACATAAAGGTGCATATGCCATTTAATACACTAGGGTTTAATTTATAGTAAACATGCACAAAATTGCACTATTTCTAAATCATAGGCAGAATATGAGAAAAATCCATTTTATAAAATGAGATTTCTAATTTGTTTAAATTATTCTGAAGCATATCCCTCATTAACAAAAGTTTCAAAATTTCTTTCCATGTCTCTTATCAAGTTGATAGAAAAAAAGGGATACACACTGAATTAAGTGAAATTAGTCTTCTGAATTTTGCTTACATGGAATTTATGATATGTTGTAAATTAATTGACTCCAGGAGATTCTTTTTGAACTACATATTGTATTAAGTTATTAAAAGTCACTATCCCCCATGATAAAATGTACACAACAGATTACTGTGGGGAAATATAAACGCACTGATCAGGTAAAGAAGGAAAACTAATCAGTATTCAATTGTCCTTCCCAAATGATAAGTGGGATTTAGAAAGTTGAATACTGTAAGTGACAAGATACAAACATCAAGTGTGAGAAGATACAAACAGTTGAAGCCCTTGTAGCTGAATTCTTATGTGTATGGATGTATGTACGTAGGTGGGTTTTAATTTTTCATGTAACACTTTACTGCTCACAAAGTGAAACCAGAATGGTTTCTGTAAATGTAAGGTGGGCATATTACCCAGATGAGTTTTGCACAATTAGGGTGAGGATCTACAATATTTTTCAACAAAGCTTACAATTCTTTATTGCACATTATCTGCCTTGGCTAGGCTACTCATTTTGATATTAAAGATATCAAAATAGAGACCTCACAGACTATTATAGAAGAATATCAAAATCCTTCAAGATTATTGGGATGATCTGACTCTAGCCTGTTATTGAATGTGATGATGCAAGGTCTCACAAAATACTCTGGATTGCAACAATTTGGTTATTAATAGCAAATACAGTTGTAGAGGTCTGCAGGTCTGCACATGAGTAAGCAGTACACCAGCTTTTATTAACACTAGCCGTGATAACTGAACTGATTGAAGTTGGACTCCATCAATATTGGGACACTTTTAACTCATCCATTATGCCACAAACAATGAAGTATAAAATCTGCCACGGCCCAAGTGAGCTCCTACTGTCTGATAATATAGCAAAAGAGCAGAAGCAAAAAGGTTATTGATACTTAGCCTTGAAAGATAAATCAAACCTTAGGTGGTAGGACATCTGTTAAACTACTTTTGGAGTCAAAACAAAAAGCTCTGCAAATATTTGGAGATTTGATTTGAAGCTAATTTGATTGAACCTCCAAATCAAATTGAAAAATATATTTGGATTTCTAAAAATTTAATTGGATGCCTCTAAATCAATTTGGATGATTTAAACATTTCTGCTCATGTGCAAAAATAGTGTTTTTTCCCGCTAATCAAATTGAATTGGCCCAATTTGCTGAATCAATGTGAATGTCCGAAGATAATTGGATTGATTTTCCAGTTTGAATCAGCATTTCAAATTAGATTTTGCATGATTTATACAGACCTAGAATTTTATCTTCTTGTGGTTTTGGTGTAAATGTGACTGATATGGAAAGGGTAAATAACTCCTGATTGATGAGTAAACAAACCTTTTTTTTTTTTTTTGTATAAAAACCAAAGCAAAATGAAAGTTAGAAAGAAAATCCCAAAGAC